AAGGGGGTCTGAATACTTTCCGTACCCACTGTATATAAAAAAAGACCAAAACTGCAGCAAATTTATCTAATATTGGATTGCTGAAACATTTCAATGACACAAAGGCAGAATCAGAGCACAAGTAAACATCCGGCTCTATTGACGGAGCCGGTTAATCACATTTCTAAAATCAGTGATAAAAGGAAGCTCTATTCTAAGAGTGAGGAAGGTCAGCGCTGTGCTCTTTCAGAGGCTCTTACCTTTTGTGAGTGATTTATTTACCTTGTCATATACACTGGCATTCTTGGCTGCAGTCACCATCCAGATTTCCTTGTAGAATCGGTCACTGATGGGATCACTGATGTCTGTCTTGTCTCCCAGCAAGCCAAGTACAAGTCTAAAAAAGAGACTGCTTTTTTCACACTCAAAATAACACATTTTGTAATGTAATACAGCAACAAATTATAATAATATATTTTAATAAATAGGTTCAATTATGCTGTATATAAACTAGATCATATTTCACCTGAAAATAAAAAGAAAAAAATATTTTAAATAAAGAGAAGAAACTGTATTTCAGGACAAATATTTACAGATATATTTTATGCAGTATATCTACATTATTTTCATAAGAATTAAGCACATTTCCTCAACAAAATTAAAATTTTTCAATAAAGCAAAAATGAATGATATATTATTTAAACCGATTTCATAAAAATATTTTGTGTATAAATGTTTTCCCATTAGAGTATTTAGTTTTACATTTGAATTTAGTACCAATTCAGTGTGTAAAATTGCTTAATCATGCAAATAATGCCAGTATATAATAATAATAATAATAATAATAATAATAATAATATGAAGAAAACTTCAAGAAAAATGTCAAAATAGAGCCAGACATTTCTTTGTGGGATTCACCCAATGAATAGCAATGATGTATTTCACAGGACTGTAAAATCTCCCACTGCAAAGGGAAATCATGTTGTCATGTTGCTCACGTATAACAGCAAAGCAGACCTGAAGCACTCCTCCCGTAGAGACAGAGCGAACCTGCCAGCCTGATAACTCTCTCCATCCATGACAGAGGGTTGGAATTCTGTGTCTTCAACAACCACGGCCATTTCACTGTCTCTCTTTCCCAGCATGCTCCTGTCATTGATGTTTGCAGAGCCTAAGCAGATCACAGATACCTATCAGACTCTTCCGCTTTCCCCACTATCATGGTTAATGCCTGTGGGGAGTGTTGGGAGCGTGTTCTGGATCTGTATTGGGGTGTGACCTCTACTGAAAGCCTCAAGGACATTTCAGTGAAAAACCCTGAGATTTCTCATTTTTCTTCTTCAAAGCTTATTCATAAGGATAAGAGGATAATTGGAATTGATAAAGACAAACAGGATTTGAGCGACGTTAATGGGATTTTAATAATGCATTTGTGATGACTGAGACAGGTGTGACTTCGCTTTTCATAAACATCTGTTGATGTTTGTTATTCTGCAATTGCATGTGTTTTGTATGACTGCAGTGGCCCCTAGTGGCGGCTAACAGGTTTACAGCTTAAAGATTTCAAATGACAAGTTGCATTTGCAAGATCATCTTGTGCGCACACTGCACAGACCTAACATTAACAACAACAACAAAAATAAAAACAATAATAATATGTGTTACAATCATAATATAATATTAAGATCTAACTTTACATGCAATTATTTACTGTGATGGACTGTCCATCCGTCCAGGCACTACACTACAGGTCAATTTGTGTGTGTGTGTGTGTGTGTGTGTGTAATTTATTCCTGTGATGGCAAAGCTGAATTTTCAGCATCATTACTCCTGTCTTCAGTGTCACATGATCCTTCAGAAATCATTCTAAAATGTTGATTTGATGCTCAAGAAACATTTCTTATTATCAATGATGAAACAGTTGCTGCTTAATATTTCGAAATTATGATACGCTACCTTTCAAAAGTTAAGAGTCTGTTTTTAAAAAAATTTAAAAAAAAATAAAATAATAATAATTCAATTAATTCAGCAAGGATGCATTAATTGAACACCAAATCAGAATATCAGAATGATTTCTGTAGGATCATGTGACACTAAAGACAAAAGTAATGGTTGCTTTGCTATCACAGTATGTATATATGTATATATCAGGATATCTATGAAATGTAACATATTTAAATATTTACTTAAAATTGAATTTTAAATATTTTTATTTTACATTTAAATATAGTCTACATATAGTCTTTTTTCCAAAGATGTCTTAATAGTAATTTCAAGCCGGTAAAAACTGTCAACTACTAAACTGAATAACAAGCAGGACGTCTTCACCTATGGTGCAGTTATGACACTGCTACTTTGGGCCTGGGAAACTAATTATGTCCTTTCCGCTCAGCAGTAATGTTTTCAAATGAAATGATAAAGAATAAAATCCCTGAAATGTTCTGGCACAAATGGTGTCATTTCCTGAGAACTTTTCTATATGTGTGTGGGCAGAGTGGCTGACCAATAATGATAGTGCAGTCGTCCACGATCATGAGCTTGCTGTGCACGTAAATGAGTTCAGTGACCAGACGCCCATCCAGGTCAGCATGAGTGCGCAGACCGCAGAATGAGATGTACTTGATCCAGCAATCTGCCACTGCAGACAAATACAAATACATCCAAACATACTTTCTTCATCCTTGTCCTGTTATAATGAATTACAGTCATGCAATCCACATTTGATGGTCATGATTTTTGCAAATGTTACGGATATAGTGTAGGTTTATACTTCTACATACTAGTCTACTTACTCACACATTTGAGCCTCTCAATAATGGAGTGCTCCCCTCGGCACATTGTCCTGAAATGGAGAAAAAGGGGTTTCATTTCATCTACTTCCTGTCTTGCACCAATCATATTTCTTAATTCTTCTTCACCTGACCGATCACATCGCTCACTGAACCCCAGTGACCACAGCACCCTCACTGCTCCTCTTAGTCTAGTGTTGAGAGTCCAAGCTGGGGCTGTAATGGTCTCTCTGTAGCCCGTGAGGAGCAGGGTCTGTTGTTTCCACATTACACACGTGTAATTTACTGCAAGCCGCCGTTCAGGCTGCATTTTTACCCTTAATTGTGGCAATTTGGTGATTACTGAAGACGCATGCTTGCAGGGTTATTACCTGTAATTAAAGTGCATGATTGCTTTGATGGCTTGGCCCCCCCCTGACGAGATGTCACCTTCAAAGCCGGGCAGCAGGGGCATCACCACATAGACGCGAAACTTTTTTTTCTCCCTGTGGCCAAAATGAAATGTAGTTAGGTGTGCCCAATGTTGTTTTTGTGTTCATGTTTGTATATGAGTGTATCTACTGTCACGATGCACCTGTATGCCCGCAGGATCCTCTCCGTCAGTGCATCTCCAATGCTGTTGTGGATGGATTTGTCAGCACAACTGATGAAGAACTGGTTCTGAGAGATAAAGAGACAAAAGGGAGAAAGGAGAGAGAATGACTGAAAGAGAGATGCAGTGAAAGGAAGACTGTCTTTAGATTGCAAATATGGCACAGGAACTGCATCTGAAGCAAAATCTCATCAGTTGTTTTATCGGTTGCCTTTGATTTTAGTTTTCACATATAGATTTAACACATAATGTGCATGATATTATACATATTTACACACTACTACCAATCAAAAGTTTGGGGTCGGTAAGATTTTATTTTATTTTTTTATGTTTTTGAAAGAGGTTCCTTATGCTCACCACTACTGCATTTGTATGATCAAAATTGAAACATTATTACAATTTTACAGTGCCATAAAACTATTTTATTTTAACATATTTTACTTCAGGACTCTTCAATGAATAGATAGTTAGAATAAAACAGCACTTCTGAAATATAAATTTGAATCAAAGTTATTTTGTTTTAATTTATACACGGTTACTGTGCCCCTAAAAACAAATAAAAACATTTTACTCTGCACTGAAGACTAGACATAGGCCCTATCACAGACTGCGCAGTTGATGTACAGTTGTGGTCATATATTTTACCTCTATGTAGATGAAATGTTTGCTGTTCTGGATGGCTGATACGTAGGCTAAATGAATTGACTCCTCGTGGACCTTTGTCCCAATAGACCACTGGCACACAGACCTCAAAAGCTTGAGGAAAAAGGATAGAATCACAATGGATGGTTTCAGTTATCACACAACACATACTGTATTTCTAAATACATATTAGTGCAAACTTGGATTCTCAAAAATGATTCTAGAAAAAATATGGATAATTTCGGCAATATTGCCAGTTCAAAGCAGGAACCCATGTGGTTTGGTGGTGATATCTCACCTGAACATTAGCCTGTGTTGATTTGCCGCTGTACTCAGCTGGCACCACGGGTGCGGATAGAGACTTGGGCATGAGGCAGGGGTAGCACATCGCCCCCGACCGCTTCTTCACCAGCTAACAAAGAAAAGGAGAGTTGATTGGGATCAGACAGAACGCCCAATGTTGACTCCAAAATCACACCCCTAAAGAGCGCTAATTACTGTGCCACATCCAGATAGTCTGTTGGGCTGACCATCAACCCCTGCCTGCTACCTCCACTCCCCAGAGATAGAGCATTTGTTTGAGGCTGAATAATAGATAGATAGAATATAGATAGATTGAAAGCTGAATGAAAGTAAAAAATTATTTCTGTTTCAAATAAATGCTGTTCTTTTAAACAATTCATTAAAGAATCTTTAAAAAAATGTAACAGTTTCCACAAAAATAATAAATATTTCTTGAGCACCAAATCAGAATATTAGAATTATTTCTAAAGAATAATGTGAAATTAAAGACTGGAGTAATGGTTGCAGAAAATTCAGCTTTGTCATTAAATGACATTTTTAAATATGTTAAAATAGAAAACCGTTATTTTAAATAACAATAACATTTTACAATATTTATGTTTTAGTGCATTTTTGATAAGCCGCCTTGCATAATAAATGCATAAGAGACGCATAAAAAATGCATTAAAAATCCTATGCCAAACTTTTGAATGGTACTGCGTATACACTACCTATACATCGCGTATACACTAGTCTTCTAATATATCTCATAATTCCTTCCACACAAATCACTGACAGGATTGTTCCCACTTTACAATACTTTCTTTGTTGTGAATGTGATGAGCGGCGTTCCCTAATCAACAGAAAAAGATATAAATAAGACTAGTCTGTCTCTGAGCCGTAAATTCTCATTTCCACTAAACACCTCATCAGAGGCATTCAACTGGCTTTTGTTTGTCCTTCTCTGCTGCACACACACCTTGCTTCCTCTCCTTTAATTATTCACCAGCAGAGTGTCTGATCGGCAGCCAAGCCTGAAATATGACTGGCATAATCCAAAGGAAATCATACAGGCCTCAAACCAATTCAATTACTGAACAATCAATGTAAAAAGGCCTCTAATTGCTCTAAAAGGGGGCTGAGAGTGCGTGCGGCCATTGAATGCTGACGGCATTCAGAACAGGACACAATGAGCAACTGCAGGGGGTGCTAAGCTCAAGCTAATAAAGATGGCTTTTCAAAAAGACTTGAGAGAGGGTGGAAACCTCAGCTTCATGCATGCTCTCTGATCCTTAGTTCTTACAATTAGACTTCTGAATGTAGGTGGTATTTGTGCACCTTCTCACAATAAAAAAAAACAATTTTTTTTCTGGACATTCATGAAGATATGCTTTACAGTCATACTGCATAACAAACAATCCAATATATAATCAATTCACTACATTATAAGACTTTCAAATGTAAAACTTCCCCAGATTAAATTTATGTTGCTTTTATATAGGTTACTCATAGGTTGCTCTTCTGGTGTTTTAATTTAACTCAAATGTTCCTTTTAAAATTGTTTAAATAAGACACAAATTAGTTATTTAGGTACTGTAAGAATAGAGCTATAAAATTAATGTAGATTTACAGCTCAGATCATTTTATCTTGAAATAACCTGATGCTAAATATTTGAGTTAATCTTAAAATCTCTGATTTTTGATATCTTGACAATTCTGAGAACAGTTTGGGACATTTATTTATTCAATGATTCTTTTTTTCTGAAATGTTGAGTCTTTTAAATCTAGGTAGCAGAAGATCTCCATTTAATCTTACTGTTTAAAGGAGAAACACTGCGATCGCTGAGAATGTTTCTAATTTCCTACCTTTGTAAAGTTCCACCTCTGAATGAAATGTCGTGCAATATCTCTTGCAGCCTTCCCATGAACCAGCACCCCAATATCATGCCAGGGCATCCGTGGTGTCTTATGCCTGTCAATGAAATCTTAACCAGAGAAAAATAAACAAATATAATTCATAATAACATTAGCGAAACCATTATACAGAGATGAGAGACAGGCCCTTTGAAGTCATCACAGTGTGGTCTTTCTCTTTTACCGTCTTTGTCAATGCACAACCATCATAAGAGTATTTCCCTACATTCATCTATCAGACTCCTCCATTTTCCTGCTGTGTCCTACCCACTTGGCACTATGTGCAAAACCAGGACTTCACGTTCACAAAGTAGAGATGCAAAAACGAAGTTATCTCCCTCAGGCAAGAGAATAGAGCTGGGAAAATAACAATAGAGATTGTTGGAAACAACTTCTATGTCTTCTTTCCCTCACTCCTGTGTTGGAGAGATTGCTTCATTTTATGAATTTAAGGGGGGGGGGGGGGGGGCAAA